TCACTCCCATTTACTAAGCTTTGCCCTGCAATTTATAATTGCTGTTGAATCGAAAAGATAATTAAAAGTCTCATCACCACCCCTAAACCCCTCTTAGTGATTATTTTTGTCCTTTAGCCCCAGGTTGGGCTAAATAACATTCCCTAGGAGCCATCTGGTCTGATTCCCGGGAACTTTTCATATGGTTTCCATTAAGCTCGCCAAAACCCTGCATTTGAAAATGCGGCCCTGGAGCCGCTCCGGAACCTCCAGGATTTCTGCCCTGGCCAGTCTGGTTGAGAATCTCAGCAGAGGGAGGCGAAGGCCTCTGCTTAAGTTCCAAGTTTAGTACCTAAGGCTCCTGATCTGAGGCTGTAATGGCTGTGCCTGCCTCAGGACTCCATGGAAATTTCGGTTCTCCATAGTAATGGTTATCATTCATTTGGCAGCATTTGTTTTCCATTGTATGAAAGACTTAGCTTGTTAGAATTGTTTTGATTCTAAAATTTAGTGTTAACGGCTTTACAGATGAATTTGCAGAAATAACCTGACCACAGAAATTCCGTGTGACCAGAAGCGTTGGTATGGTGGGGTCTATACCTCCTTCCCATGCTTTTGCCCCATTCCTCTAACCCCCATAGGAAAAACAAATGTTATCTTGTGCAAAAATATTCTCTCACCCATGGACTAGGGTTTGTAGTCCAAGCAAAAAAAAAGGCTGTAACAGGCAGGTTCATGGAATCAGAGTGCTAATCTCTGGAAAGTTCCTTTGAATTTATCAAAGATAAATCTTCGAGATTATGGAGGAGACTCAGAAAGTGGAGGGGCATAGAGAAGGTTGCATGGCTGTGTCAAGTACTAACTCTGAGTCATGCAGTGGAGTTTAGGATGTGGGTGGGGAGGAGACCCTGACACCAAGTGCTCTCTCAAACACAGCAGAAAGGATTTGGGTCAAGGTGAATTCATTGGTGGCAGGCACTCCTCACATCCTCTCTCTCTTCTGCCTGTCATCTGCGGTTTCCTCTGTCCTGCTTTGCCTGGCCTGTTTGGGGAGTTCTAGCCCTTTTTCCCCTCTTCCTAACCTAGGTTTCACTCTTTTCCTTTTTTTCACTTTGCTTTCCTCCCTATTCTCCTAACCGTTCCCCTCCCTGCCTTGACCGTGTGATTTTATTTGGGTTTTTAAAATGAAACCGGGTGCTACATAAAACAAAGGCAAAGTAATAACAAGGAAAGACTATCCAACGCCTAAGGAATGTGCTGAGTTTTATGACTCAGGCTGCCCTGGCAAAGAACTGGGACTGACATGGAGAGGTGGGTGGCACAGAGCACAGACCATACATGGCAGCCCTGGTCTCCCCAGATAGGATGGTCAAGGCATCCTGTGACTCACTTCTCAAAAACCAGAGACTCTTGTTCCATGTGTGACAAGACTTCCTGGAGGCTGGAGCCAAAAGGTCATCAACTTTTCCCTGTGGGGCCAGATCCCTGTGACGGAGCAGGGGCCACTCTAGGGGAAGAGCCAGGCAAAAGGCCATCTCTGGGAAAGAAGCAGGCTTGATGGACTTGGGCAAGGGCTTTCGGTGCATTTGGGAGATGAATAACGTGTAAGCTGCAAAGTGACATGAAAATTAGCATGTATTGTATTGGAGACAATGGCTTGGGAGTTCGTGGTGGCAAGAATTGTTGAAGTGCCTGGAGGAGGGGAGTGGAGGAGTGCTCCCTAGCTCTGGGGGACCCAGGGGTGTTTGCTCTGTGCAGCATGAAGCAGAGAAAGAACGCCTCAGAGCCTGGTGGGGCTTCTGGGGTGCCATTCCCAATGCCATGGAGGGGCACCGGAGAGCTCAGGCACACATCCTCACATTCTGAGAATTCTTTTCAAATAAGCATAGGAATGGGGTGAGGTGTACATTTTTTTCTGTTACTAAGAGACAGACAAGAGCACTAAGGAGAACGTGTCTCCTAGCAGGGGTGGTGGGAGGGGTCTGAATTGCTCTGGTGACAAGGATCTGTCTGTGCTCCCTTCATTACACAGGACAGGGTGGCACTAAGGGGACTCATAGTCCTCCTTCTGGTGTCCGCCACCTCCGAGAAGGCTGTCACTTTTGGAAGGAGAATGAACCTTGACTGGCATAAATGAGATCTCCTCGTGTGGCAGCCTCATGGAACGGGGACTTGTTTTTCCTTTCCTTCTTTTTTTTCTTTTCCTTTCCATGAAATACCCACCGGAAAGCTATGGTGGCTATTCTATAATTGCAGGAAAAGCTCTGCTTAACTTTTTCATGAAAGTCTATGTACCTGGAAAAACACAAGTCCTTCAGGGCCCATGACTTCATAAATATTTATAGCGTGGACAGGCGTCACTCTGGTTCTGAGGGAGAATGGGCTCATTCAGGTTTATTTATGATGTGACACTTGGGTGAGTGACGTCCGTCATCTGGGTCGGCCCTACACTCTGTTCCACTGAAGCATGTTTATGGAGTGATCAGGCCGGCAAATATTTGCTATATTTAGGCTCTCTCCTCTCCGAACCCCCTCTTAAGTCCCCAAACCAGCAAAAAGCCAAGTTTATGGTCTAGGGGAGATCGGAACCCTCATGACAAGGCACAGGGGCTTGAGCGCATGCTGTGGAAGCACATGACAATCCGAAGGCAATTAGAGTGGGAATGCGGACTTCCTAGAGCCCTCTCCTATGAAGATGGTGGTGTTGCCTGGGCTTAGCAGGTGAGGGCGTGAGGGGTTTTGACAGGTGACGAGCTGGGCCCTGAGCGATGAATGCAGATGGACGCTGATGGAACTTTTTCCTTTCAGGGAGTTTCTCTGCACAGTATCTGCCAAGTCTTGGTGGTGGCTCTGTGACCTCATTAGGGTCAAGGTCTCTAGTGTCCTGAGGCTTTCGCCTCTCAGCCACACCTGGCCCTGGGCCGGGGGAAGCAGCTGTCCTTCGTCAGCTGTGGAGGAGGGAGGGAGGGACTCCTCTGGCTTCCTGGTGTCACAGCTGCACATACCCCGGCCTGGGCATCTAGACCCACTCCAGGATGCAGTCTTTGCCTCTGATCGGCTGGTCCACCTATTGTTTATCCCAGGAAGGGCTAGGTCTTGGCACAGGGGCATGAAGCGTGGCCAGCGTTTTATTTTTAGAGATAGGAAAATGTCTGCTTTTTGGCAAGTGCTCTTTTTCTGGCACACACCAGGGATGGTGTAAAAAAGCTCAAGTGAGAGATTCCCGGCCTTAAATTCATGGCCTATGACATAGGCAACAGCACCACGGGTTTCTCAACAGAAGCCTTTGTGGAGCCTGAAATATTTCATCAGATGGCCTCCTGGGCAGAGCAGTGGCCCTCCTGCTACACGCTGGTGGCAAAAGTCCTCAAACCCTGTATCTTGGCAGCTTGTGAGTCTCTTTCAAGTGCATCAGCTGGTCAGAAATATTGTTCTTACCTCCTTTCACCTCTTCATCTGTCAATCCATAATTCCAGTTCAACTTGGAAGGGAGAGCGGAAGACAGTCTTTTCCACTCCATGTTCATCACTCCTCCTGATATCATCATCATCAGGACTCAGTGGAAGGCAGCCAGGTTCCACGGCAAGAATCAGTGATTAGACTCAGGAATTGCAT